GGCGGTGTGTTTCCCTGCCGTTCACCCTCCAGCTGTTTTCCCTCTGAGGGTCAGGATGGGTTTGTCCTGCCAGAGGCACACACTTTCCTGAGTCTCCCGCTTGGGGACCAGGGCTGGCTGAGGTTGAGGATGCCGGCTGAGGCTCTGGGACCAAGGTTTTAGGTGGACAAAATGTGCAGGTGGTGGGATTCATGATGTGCAGGAAGTGAACCACAGCAGACATGTAACAAGAGTACCAACCCATCCCGCGCCCCACTCGGTCCTGGGGGTGGGCACAGGGTCGGTGGGCCGGGAGAGCGTTTTCATGGGCCGGTGAATTCATTTTTTCATGAGTCCGAGTGAGAAGAGCGGTGTCCCTGGGTTGAAAGTAGACTATTTGGCCTGCAGCCCCAAGAGTGCAGTGAAATGAATCCTCAACTCCAACTCCGCATGTGGAGCCCAGGGTGGAGAAGAGCTTGAATGGAGGAATGAATACATCGCAGTGAAGGAATGAACTTGGGGAGGACAGTCAGGATACAAGTGGAGACTGACCCCTCCCGCGCATCACTACTGTTGTGAAGAGTTCCCTGGCCTCCCCTCCCCAGCGCTCCCAGCACACCTTCCCTCACCAGCTCCCAAAGATGTCCCCATCCAAGTCCCCAGGACCTGCGAATGTGTTAGGCTACATGGCCTTGGGGAATTAAGCTGAAGATGGAAGTAAGGTTGCTAATCAGTTGACCTTAAACCAAGGACATCGTTTTACATGGGGAGTGCATTCCAGGCAGAGGGACCAGAATATGCAAAGTCCTCTATGCACAAGAGAGCTTGATGTGTTTCTGGGAGTGAGGGACGTCCGGGAGAGGGGGAGTGTGGCCTGATATAATATAAAAGGTCTTAAAAGTGGAACAGGGAGCCCGAAGGGAAAACCAGAAAGGTGGGAGCATAAAAACTAAGACCAACATTGCTGGCTTTCAAGATGGAGGGAGGAGACCATGAGCCAAGGAATGCAGGCCTCTAGCAGCTACAAAAAGCAAGGAAACAGTCTTCCCTTGAGCCTCCAGAAGGCAGAGCCCTGCCGACACCCTGAGTTTAGCCCAGCGAGACTCAGTTCAGACTTCTGACCTCCAGCGCTGTACGAGAATAAATTAGTGTTGGTGAAGCCACTAAGTGTGTGGTGGTTTGTTAATGTGTTACAGCAGCAAGAAGAAACGAATACGCCATTTGTCATCATACTTATCCTAACATAAATTTCAGTTATATGCCTATCTAACTCCCCTCAGTAATGATGATAATAATAACTGAGGCTAACATGTGTTGCACACTTACCATGTGGCAGAGTTTTTCCAAGAGTTTTACCAAGTTTTTCATAGATGCAAGATACTATAAAAAGGTCACGTCCATGGAACACTAGGATGAAGGCAGACACGGGGATCTGGCAGTGGGGGAGGGGGTTAGAGGCATCTTCAAGGGGGTGAAGACACCAGTGTATTTGAAAGCGTGAGTGGGAGTCAGCCTGGAAGAGAGGAAGCATAGCGCGGGCAGGGGAGAGCGTAAGAGAAAGGAGACGCAGTGCGGGTGCTGGCAAGCACCCCGGTGCTCAGCTTCCGGCTGACCATTTCTGCATTAGTGTCTCCAGCCCCTAGGCCTCCCCTGGGATCTAGAGCCACATGCCCTCATGCCTGCCTGCAGACTCCACCTGGATGCCTCAGCATGGCCAACAGGGAGCCTCCTCTCTGCAGGAGCACGCTCCTCCTCTAGTCGTCCCTGTCTCCCAAAGTGACCCCCAGCTGTTCCAGCCACAATCATCTTGGAGCCCTTCCCCCGGCCTCACCCTCATTGAATCCATCACCAAATCCCATCAATTCTATCTCCAAGGTCTAACGGTTGACACCTCTCCACCTCCTCCCCTCACACCTGGCCCAAGCTCTCACCATGGCTCCTGGATTAGTGCAATGGTCTCTTAGCTGGACTCCCTGCTTCTACTCTCCGTCCTCTGTGATCAACAGTTCATCAAGCAGTAATCTCTTAAAAATGTCAATCAAATCCCACTCCTGGGCCTACTCTCACCAAGGCTTCCCTTTGTTCTGATGGGGGAACCTCCCCAGCATGGCCTAGAACCTGTTGTGTCACCTGGCCCCTGTCTCCCTCTAAAACCTCACCTTATGCCACTCTCCCCATCGCTCCCTTACACTCTGCTCTCCCCCTTCTCCCCTTCTCACTCCCAGGAACACATCAAGCTTTTTGTGCACAGAGGACTTTGCACATCCTGATCCCTCTCTTGCAACCTCTCTGCCTGGCCAGTTCCTTTTAACTCTTCAGTCTTGGAGAAGCCTTTCCCTGGCCAAACTGGGACCACTCCCACCCCACTTCACGTTGGTCATGATTTCGATCCCTCATGTGTTTCCTCGATGATAAGAATCACAGCCTTGCCGAAACCGGTTTGGCTCAGTGGATAGAGCGTCGGCCTGCGGACTAAAGGGTCCCAGGTTCGATTCCGGTCAAGGGCATGTACCTGGGTTGCGGGCACATCCCCAGTAGGAGATGTGCTGGAGGCAGCTGATCGATGTTTCTCTCTCATCGATGTTTCTGACTCTCCTATCTCTCTCCCTTCCTCTCTGTAAAAAATCAATAAAATATATTTTTTTAAAAAAAAAAAAAAGAATCACAGCCTTTCATCTGTTAGAAGGTACCTGCTTCTTTACTTTTGCGTCGCTCTTCTACTGGAATACAAGCTCCATGAGGGTAGGGCCAGGCCTACCTGGTTTGTCGGGACTTCCCACAGGGCTCAGCATGTGGAGTAGACTAATGAAAAGAGAAAGTGTGAGGCTGACACTGAAAGATGAGGCTGGAAATAGAAGGCCTTGAACCCAGAGTCTCATCCATCTTTGCACAAATGGCACCTCCCACAGGGGAGCCATTCAGCAATGCCCACTGGGTGATGGAGGCATGACCATTCCAGATGTCTGTGAAAAACATTGTCCCTTCTGGGCAAGGCTCCCAAAGGGGCTCCCTCGCCTCCTCGGGACTTCTCAGGAGGTAACACGTCTAGGGCTTACAGCAAGGGCTCCGTAAGTGCTAGCTGTCATTGTTACTATTGCTTATGTGGGAATGACTCGTGCATCCCATAGGAAAGGCTTCTTCTTGAGCCCGTGCCAGATACAGTGGGTGGGAGAGAAGTGGGAGGAAGCGACACAGGAGGGGAAAATGAGAATGGGAGGCAGGGTCTAGGCAAAGTCACTTCTTTCCTCCAGACTTCAGCCACCTGGGTGCAGCCTGGAGATGCCGACTGGCAGGAGCTGGGGAGGCCCCCGTTTGGGTGCACACAGTCATCTGGGGGCCTGAAAGGCTCCGGCTGATTTTGAAAATCTGGCTCACTGTGGCTGGTGAGGATTGGGGAGGTGGAGAGAATTTCAATTTCCTTCACCAAATGGCAAGCTTGTGAAAAAGTCCTTTTTCTCCAACATTATCACATACTAAAATTGAAAACCCAGCCATTCGGAGGAAAATAGATGGGCTGCTTCGCTCACAAGATACAGGAGGGCTGAGAATCAAGTCTGGAGAGTATCGCAGGGTACATTGTGTGCTGAGACGCTGCCCTTTTTTTGGACCTGGGAGGTTCTATTTTTCACAAAGGAATGGGAGCAAGAGAAGTAATTCCCTATGTAATAAGCCACCCATTTTTATATTCCAAATCCATTTGGTGGCTGACTCTCCAAATCCAGTTAGTGGCTGAACAGCATGGGTTAGAGAATTTTTTTTTAACTCTTTATCTCAAAACATGCGGTTTGAGATAACAGCCTATATTTTAAAATAGCGGTAACAGATACGACAGAACAAGACACTAAACAAGAAAGGTGATAAATATAAATAAGACATTTCCAAGTGATGCAAGTCTGACAGATCACAAACCGGCACAGTGAGAGGAGAGAGGCCATGTGACCTTGGGTACATCACTGCACCTCTCCCAGCCTCATCAGTATAACAAGAAGGGGCTCAAACAGCTGTTCTCCAAGATCCTTTTTTCTTCCTTAGAGGTTGAAATCTGATGCTTCCAGAAGACCTGCATCTTCCTACTTTACTCTGACCCTCCAATTGCAAATCAGAAAGGCCCTGGGGTAAAGGCTGCCATGGAGAGAAAACTGGCCTCGATACCCAGTCACGCTTTGCAATCCCCAACAATAATTACTCAGCGGCCCAGCCCTGCCCTGCTCGGCCTCCCAGAGCCCACGATGCCAAGACAACCTGACCGAGTCTGTGGGAAAAGCGGGAGAAAGTTCTTGTTCTTTCTCATCGGTGCAGGTAAAGCAGAGGTCGCGTTAACGATCATCTGGACTCGGCCCTGCACCCCCACCCCCCTGCCTAGTGGAAAAATAAATTATGAAAGGAAACCGCGGCAGGAATGCCCGAGGGCGCTCGGGATGGCTGAAACCGCAGAACGCCAGACGCCGGGGACTTTTTTCTTTTAAACTTCAAGTCGCTCTTAGAAAATGCAGCAGGTCCCCAAATGCACACGCGTTCAATCACAAGCCACTTCCCAGGCTCCTGGGAGCAAACACCAGCCCCGAGCGGGAATCCTCCCCCCTTGGGTTTCATCTGCTTTGAGCAAGTGGCCTGGGGTCTGCAGGCAGCGCCTCGTCCCTGCCTGACCGGGGTCCGGGGACCTGCGGGCCCGGGAGGCCGGGCCAGGTTCCAGGATCGGCGGGGAACTTTCCTGCATCGCGCCGGGGAGACAATGCCCGGGCCGAGCTCCGCGCCGGGAGGGCCCCCATCGGCGGCGCCCCGCCACCGGGCGCTCAGTCCCGGCCCTGCTTGGAGGGCGTGCGGAGCCCCCCCCTTCCCGCTCCCCTCGGCGCCTCCTCGGGGCCCTGCAGAGCCTGGGTCTGGAGCCCTCCCCGCGGACAGGGGCAGGCAGCCGGGGGCCGGCCCAGCGCCCCGTCCCGGCTCTTCTCCACGCGGGCCCGGCGGGGGCTCCGCCGACCCCGGGCGACCCCGCCGAGCCGGGCTGGGCGCCTGCAACTCACCGGGACCTGGCGGGCCGCTGGGCATTATTCCATCGCGGGCTCCGCGCTAGCTCCCCGGCGGCGGCGCACACGCCCGCGCCCCGGCCCCCTCGGCCGAGCGATCGCGGCTCTCGGAGCGGAACGCAGGGGCGCCGCCGGGCGCGGAGGGCGGGGCGGGGCGGGGCGGGCCGGGCTGCCCGAGCGCGGAGTGCCCGCCCGCGGCGGCGGCCAGGCGAGGCGCGGGAGGCGAGCGCGGGGCGGCGGGCGGCAGGCGCAGGAAGGGGCGGGCGACCATGTGCCGAGGGGAGGAGGCCGCAGCGACGGGCGGCTCGGACGATCCCGCTCGGCGGCGGAGGGCGCGGGTTTCAGGAAATCCAAACACTTCGACAGGAAATCGGGATCCTGACTAAGCATTCCCGCTCCCGCCAGGGGCTCCCGCCGCGCTTAACCCTTGGCCGGCCGGCACGCAGGCGGGGGTGGGGGGTGGGGGCAGGCGGGGTCGCTGGCACCTGGCGGGGGGCACCCCGGATTCCCGCGAGCGAGCTTGGCCGGGGGCCCGGGGCCCGGCACCCTCCCCTCCGCCTCACTGCCCCTCCAGCCTGCCTCCTGCTGGCCCAGGGGTGGAAGCCATGGGATGTGTCCGCATAAAACCTTGGCCTTGGGAGGTAGATGCCTTTCTAAGCCCCCCCTCCCCCATTGCAGGAAAGGGCCTTGGCCTCTCTCCCCCATCCTGCAGAGGATGAACTTGCAATCTCCAAGCTCCTTCCCGTATTTTCAGTAAAAGAAATGACTTTACCTGTCTGCCCCCTTCCCCTTCTCCCACTTTGCTAATTTCCTCGCATTTTGCCCAGGGCCAGGGCCAGGGCCAGTATAGCTAGTGCCACGGTAATGGAATGGACTTGGGATCTGATCCGGGCTGGGATCGGGCTTTGCCTTTTCTCCAGCTGTGTTACCTTAGGTCCGTCACGGAACCTCTCGGAACCTCCCTACCCTCAGATGTGGAATGAGCAGGGAATACCGCTCTCACAGGTTTCATTTGGGAACCCCATGTTTAGACAGGGACTGACACCCTGCAAATGCTCCAATCCAGGGTAGCCATGGCGGTCCTTCTTCCCAGGAGACCTCAGAGAAAGGAGGGTTCTCACGGAGGGCTGTGCACCGCCCCGTGCCCATCTATGCCTACGCACAAAGCCTTGGGACTTCCTTTCCCTCCTAATCGCCACCTGATTATTTTTCTTTGCAGCGTTTCAGAAACTGCCCTCAGCAGAGGCAAAGGTTAGTGGCTATGCAGACGCCCTTCTGGTGAAATGTGAAACTCAGCAAACCGCACAGAACTGGGGATTTTGTTCTTAACCGGAGTCAGGACACTGGGGGGGGGGGTTTGTGAAGAAGTCTGGGGAGGCTACAGAGGCGGAGAAAACCAAAGTAAATCTCTGTGCAGTCAGCCCTGGACTAGGCGGCCAGCGGGAGCGATTCGCTGCAGTTCCCCACGGAAATGCCACATCCGGGGGTTTTCCACGTGGAGGACGCAGCTTGGTGGTTTTGCTGTGTTTCAAATTCCTTTGAAACCCAATCAGGCTTTGAAGAGGGAACAATGTGCCGATGAGCAAAAACCAAAGCTCGAAATGAACCTGCTAGGAACTGAAAGTGGGCTGGGTATCGGACCAGACACCAGTTTTAGACCCGGGTTCGACGCTTTCTTGCACCTCTTTTTCGGTGATCAGAGCGGTGGGAGCTCTGGGTTGGCATTGGGAGTGGAGGGTCCTGCCCCAGGGCCTTTGCAGCTGCTGCGCCCTTTGCCTGGAAGAATCTTCCCTCCGCTGTTCTTGGCACTCAGCCCACAACTCAAAAGTCAGCTTCCCCAGGGGCTTCCCTGGTCATCTGACCTCCTTGTCTTTGGACCTCTACTCCCGCCCACACCTCTCTCCACGTCATGTGCCCTGCTTCACTGCTCCATGGCCCTCCTCACAATCCCATTTTCCCTGTCTATCTGGCTGCCTGTTTATTGTCTGTCTCCGACAAGCTGCATGAGAGCAGGACTGCGGCTTGTCGCCATCACTCAGTGCCAAGGCAGTGCTGGCCCATAGGAGACCCTCGAGAAAGACATGGCCAGCCCGACAGGCGAGGCTCAGTGGTTGTGCATCAACCTATGAACCAGGAGGTCACAGTTTGATTCCCAGTCAGGGCACACGCCCGGATTGTGGGCTCGATCCCCAGTGTGGGGGCATGCAGGAGGCAGCTGATCAATTCTCTCATCAGTGATGTTTCTCTCTCCCTCTCCCTCCCTCTCTGAAATCAATAGAAATATATTTAGAAAAAAACAAAACCAGAAAGACATGTCCAGTGAGTAAGGGGGCCGAGGAGATGAGAGCTGCAAGTTCGCTCTGCCCCTTAGCTCCCTGTAGCTTCTGCTTTGCTGAGAGGCTTTCAAATGGGAAGGCCCAGTGAGTGGCAGAAGCGCCTGTCGGCTTTATTAGTGGCTCTGGAAAGTGAAAACGGTAAGTAATTAAGACTGGCAGCCGACCTAAGTGCCATCTCATTGGTACAGTCCCCTAATGGCTCCTCCTTGGTGCTCCCCCAGCACTTCTGTTCGCTTAAAGAATGTATTTATCGCATTACATGCTTGCCCAGTGAGTGCTCGCCTACATCGGAGGCCAAACTCTGAGCTGGAGAGAAAGGAAAGGAGCTGTACTTATTGACCACTTACCCTGAGCGGGGGCCCTGGGCGATGTGGATTTGAACTCATGAAAAGGCTATTTGGTGAAGTGCCTGTGATGGGCTCAAAAACCTTTTGGGCACTCGATCAGCAAAGATAATCTTCCTGCTCTCTAAGAAAGACAGATAAGAAAGCTCTGTTTAGAGAGGCAGAGCTGCCTCAAACAGATTGTCAAACTGCAGCAGGAAGGCCGGGGAGGGTTGCGGGGCAGGAGGTAGGGGGGTAAGAGATCAACTAAAGGACTTGTATGCATGCATAGAAGCATAACCAGTGGACATAAGACATGGGGGGATAGGGGAGGCTAGGGGACTGTCTAGGGCGGGGGGATAAAATGGACACATATGTAATACCCTTTGTAATACTTTAAGCAATAAAAAAAAAAAACCAAAAAAAACAAAACAAAAAAAAAAAAAAAAAAAAAAAAGAAAGCTCTGTTTAGAAAACAGAGAGGTGCCCTAGCCGGTTTGGCTCAGTGGACAGAGCATCGGCCTGTGGACCAAAGGGTCCTGGCTTCAATTCCAGACAAAGGCATGTACCTTGGTTGCAAGCTCCTCCTCCTCGGGCATGAGCCCTGCTCGGGGCACGTGCAGGAGGCAACCAATCAGTGTGTTTCTCTCACATCGATGTTTCTCTCTGTCTTTCCCTCTCCAAAAGAAAGCAGAGGAGTAATAACTATGAAAGAGGTGTGTCCAGGCTCATGGGCTGTGTGGAACATGGGGGAGGGCTTCTATATGGGGGGGTGGGGAGGTGTCTTAGTCTGTTCAGGCTGCTGTAACAGTACTGTAGAGGGAGCCACTTCTAAACAACACACATTTCTTTCTCCCACTTCTGGAGGCTGGGAAGTCAGGCATGGGTGTGGACAGGCTTGGTTCCTGGTGAGGATCTGCTTCCCAGTTCACAGACAGCCTCCCTTCACGGTGCCCTCACGTGGTGCAAGGAACACGGGCAAGGTTGCTCCCTGGGGTCTTTTTCATTGAGGCACTAACCCCGTTCATGAGGGCTCCCCCTCGTGACCTACCCGCCTTCCAAGGCCTCACCCACTCCATCACTTTGAGGGCTAGGATCTCAACATATGAATTGGCGGGAGGGGCACGAGCAGGAGATTAGAAACCACTTTCAAGCAAGTGGGAGCTCTTGAACTCGGTCTCAAGGAAGAGGTGAGCTTGATCTGGCCAGGTGAGGAGGCACAGGCCTGCCAGCCAGAGCAAAAGCCACCTGTGCCGGGGCTGCTCAGCTTAGGGTCCCCGGCGCCCACCTCAGAGCTCACCTGTGGCTGCAATTGGTGCCATCTGTCGAAGGAACTGCCCCCGAAGCATGCACTGCTCCTCCTCTCTGCCCGAGGCCTTTCTCCAAAATGGTGGGATTTTCGCCAGGCAAACTGCCCAACAGCCGTGGGGGCGCCCCCAACCAATCAGTGGATAAATGTCCCAGCCGCCCATCCCTAAGGTGGGACAGTCCTACGGTGCTTTCAGCACAGTCCTCAGGTGGATCCCAGTAGTAACTCCCTAGCTCATGCTTTCCGCGTTCTCTCTCTTCCCCGCCTCACTTTCTCACTCCCTTATTTGTTCTTCATAGGATCAATCACCTCCCAAATCACCCAGCTGCACCCAATTCCTTGCCTCAAGATTTGTTTCTGGGAAACCCAATCCAGGAAAGAATTCATTCATTCATTCATTCACAGATATTGACCAGACACCCCCCGTGGGCCTGAGCAAAGACTGAGCATGGGCAGATAATATATTTGGGTAACTCTATGAGGTTCAGCACAGTCTGAGGAAACAGTGCATGTTCAGACACCGAAAGCACCAAGACTAAAAAGCTTTGCGCCATTTTACAGTTGAAAAACTGAGGCACAGGAGTGTTGAGTCACTGGCCCCAGACCAGACACTGAGTGCATAGAGGAGCTTTGGAGTCCAGCCTTGTAACCACCACCCTCTGCTTCCTTTCCTGGCGGTCAAGGCTATGAGTGCAGGCTGCAGTGAGCTCACCCATGGGGAGGTGGAGAGTGAGAAGGAACTGGGATAGGGATTGAACCCTGAGGGCCACTGTCGGTGGGAGGAAGAGGTGCCCTTGAAGGGAGGGAGTGGTCAGAGAAAGGAAGTGGAGGAAAACCAAGGGGCAAGGGACGAAATTGCTTTTAAAAGGAAGGAATGGCCAACATGCTCAAATGCCCCGAAAATTCAATCAAATGAGGATTAGAGAGCAAGTGTCATTTCATCCGGCAGTCAGAAGGCTGGTAACTTTTGCCAGAGCCGTCTCAGGAGAGTGGGGGGATTGGAAGCCAGATTGCAGTGGGTTGAGGACCGAGTGGGAGACAGCAAGTGTAGACAACTCTGCAGAAACGGGCCCTCTAGCTGGTGGGAGGTAAGGGCGGAGGAGGCTTTAAAAGGGTGGGCGAGTGAGCATCTGTGGTTGACGGGAAGGTCCCAGAGAGGGGGAGGTTGAGGAGGAAG